GGGCACGGGCCTCCACTCGGACTTACCCGATAATAGCTCACCGAAGGTGTCACCGCTCGCGCCCACCGAGGGTAGCCTGACATATTCCACCCCTCCTTCCGAATGAAAAGGATGCGCGAGGGTCGCATAAAAAGCCAGGGGAACTCTTGATCGCCCTCTCGCTCCATGCAAGAGGCTCGGGGACTATTCCTGCAACCTTACCGAGACCCAGCGACCCAGGCTTGCACTCGAGGGGGCTCGGCAAACAAACCCCTCCTTCCGAACAAAAAGGATGTGCGAGGGTCACATAAAAAGCTAGGGGAACTCCTGATCGCCCTCTTGCTCCATGCAAGAGGCTCGGGGGATCTTCCTGCAACCTTGCCGAGACCCAGCGACCCAGGCTCGCACTCGAGGGGGCTCGGCAAACAAACCCCTCCTTCTGAACTAAAAGGATGCGCGAGGGTCGCATAAAAAGCCAGGGAACTCCTGATCACCCTCTCGCTCCATGCAAGAGGCTCGGGGGCTCTTCTGCAACCTTGCCGAGACCCAGCGACCTAGGCTCGCACTCGAGGGGGCTCGGCAAACAACCCCTCCTTTCAAACGAAAAGGATGCGCGAGGGTCGCGTAAAAAGCCAGGGGAACTCCTGATCGCCCACTCGCTCCGTGCAAGAGGCTTGGGGGCTCTTCCTGCAACCTTGCCGAGACCCAGCGAACACCTCGATGGGCTCGGCAAACAACCCCTCCTTCCAAACGAAAAGGATGCGTGAGGGTCGCCTAAAAAGCCAGGGGAACTCCTAATCACCCTCTCGCTCCATGCGGAGGCTCGGGGGCTCTTCCTGCACCCAAAACGAAAGCAAGCCACCCAAGCTCGCACTCGCAGATTCGGAAAAACGTGACAAAAAGGGCACCGAACCCGTTACGGTCCAGTGGTTCGAAGGCTAGGCCCCCCCAAAGGTCTCGACAGCCGCCCTAGGACAACAGAGTCAGGGACAACTATGGGCGAGCCCGTACATGGCCGGGGCCCGAGCAAGCGATCGCTCGGGATGCCCTAAGTCGTGTCCAAGACCGGCAGGGAAATCTTCGAATGGGATCCCACCGTAGGGAGGCGCCGAGCCCCCGGGGCCAATCGAACGGCCCCGGGACCCACTAGAGAAGCCCTCTCATACTTTTGGAGTGCGTCTCTGGACCGTGAGCCGACCCCTATCGAATGGGGCACGGGCCTCCACTCGGACTTACCCGATAACAGCTCACCGGAGGTGTCACCGCTCGCGCCCACCGAGGGTAGCCTGACATATTCCACCCCTCCTTCCAAACGAAAAGGTTGCGTGAGGGTCGCATAAAAAGCCAGGGGAACTCCTGATCGCCCTCTCGCTCCGTGCAAGAGGCTCGGGGGCTCTTCCTGCAACCTTGCCGAGACCCAGCGACCCAGGCTCGCACTCGAGGGGGCTCGGCAAACAAACCCCTCCTTCCGAACGAAAAGGATGTGCGAGGGTCGCATAAAAAGCTAGGGGAACTCCTGATCGCCCTCTCGCTCCGTGCAAGAGGCTCGGGAGCTCTTCCTGCAAAATAGAACAAGTCCCAATGACTCGAACTCGCCCACATGGGCCCGACAAACGTGATAAAATTCCTCGCTCAGCGGGGACAAAGCCCCTGGAGGGGTAAATCCACTCCTCCAGGGCCTCGGGGGCTACACCTTGCGGGTGCGCTCGCGCGCACCCACCGAAACCTCAAAAAACAAAACACAATCCCGATGGGAGCAGTTGCAAGCCAAGTCTCGACAAACCCTCAGGGAAAGTGCTCGCACTCCCCCCGAGGCTCGGGGGCTACTGTCGGATACCATAAAAAGGGATACCCTAAGCAAGAATGGAAAAAGATTGCTTAAAACCTCACAAATATCAAAGCCAAAGGACAATCACAGGGTCTCGGCCGATTCTCCGACTCGCCTGGAGCCTGTGTCACAACGAATCTCCGCCTCGCCGAGGCCCCCTCACCGAGGCCCTCTCGTGCCGAGGCCCTGCTCCGTAAGGCCTCGAACATGTTACCGATTCTACAATTCACCCGAGGCCCCGCGAGTGAAGCCTCGGACGAAGTACCGATTCTTCGACTCGCTCGAGGTCGTCTCAGCAACAACCTCGTTGCCTCCGCCTCGACCAACTTCTCTGACAAAACATCACGCGTCCAACCACTCCCGCGACGTCAGCCGCACGTGGGCACAGTACAGCAGGGTGGCCGACGGGACGTGAGACAGGACGAAACAAGGGTTACTGGCCACTGTGCTCAGCACTGCACCCATGCCTGACGCCCGTGCTGCACTGTGCTACCTAATTTCTGCTCCAGGAGCAGCATGGTGTGGGGAAGCAGGCACGGGTCACTGTAGCCTCGGAATCGGTGCATGAGACCAACTGCTCCCTCCAAGGCCTCGGCAACCCACTTCCAGGTCTCGGCAGCCTCGGGATTCGCGCCCACCGAGCCCCCCACGATGGCTTGGCCTCGGCACCAACTGAGCCTTGGCTCTTTTCACCGCCAACCCATAGCGACCAACACACCATCGGCCATACCCTACGTCAAGCTGTCACTGGAGCGCCCACGTCATACGAGATCAGGTGTGACCGGCGCGTTGCTCCAGTACATCAAGGACAAGACCACTCCATTGACCATGCCGCTACAGTATAAAGCTACAGGACTCCAGCACGCCACCTCCGCTCGTCGCATGGCGAACACATGTATCACCCCTGTCCCTCCTTCAACTATAAAAGGGGAGACCGGGGCCGTTCTTAAGAGAGGAACTCACGAACTCAGGGAGATAGACTCATGTAGACACACGCTCTCCCAAGTCGCCTGAGAGTAACGTCTCAAGCAGCCCGCACCGTTCCACGCCGAGACCTAGGACTAGCTCCCTCTCTCACCCAGCTTGTAACCCCCCTACTACAAGCACTTCGGTGCAAGGAATACAAGATCGATCTCTCAGACTGGACGTAGGGCACCAATTGCCTGAACCAGTATAAACCTTGTGTCTCTTTGCATCACCATCCGGGATTAGAGGCACGCAATTCACATTTACTAGTTGGTTGAGGACCCCCTGGTCCAAAACACCGACACCACCCAACGTGTTTAGAGAACATGTAGCCGGCATGGGTTTAAGGAAAAGCCTATAATTCCTAGACAAAAGAAGGCCCAAAGTTAAGTATCTATTTTATAACATAGTGGTGTATTGTAGTTGTTAAATCTATCGACAATTGATCGTAATGATGAAACATGTTTTATGCGCTAATCTGTAATGGAATGAACAAAAGTAAATGATATAAAATTGAAAGATAGTAGGAGATCAAGGGGGAGATTGTTAGATTGATTTCTAATTCCAAACTGAGCCCATCGGCCCAATTGGGCCTTTATCCGCGCCCTGATCGGGGGCGCCCAGCCCACTATGGCTGGAGGGCTCCTGTCACACTGCGCAATAAATAGAGGTGGAGGCCGGCGGCTCTGAGTATGAGGTTCGCCTGAGCCGAGCTCCCCACCGAAACCTAAACCCTAATCCGATCTAAAGGGGGCGCAGTCAGTAACGGGAAGCCACCAGCCGCGCCGCCCCGCTCCACCGACGTCGACGGCTTCATCGACCTCTTCCCCGAACGTCGCTGCCCGTGCGCAGACTTCACCGACGAACGAGATGGCGGCCTCTGGACCATCACCCTCTGCGATGTCAGGTTCGACACGTTATTCTTCTACTCCACCCCTCTCTGTCTCGTTCTATCTACTGTTACTGCACTAGTAGATGTTCTAGAACTCATAATTCTATTCAACAGCAAGTAAACATGCTAGTTCTATGCCTAGAGATCCTGTTCTAGGTCTAACAGCCCTCACTCCTTCAGGTAACGTCACTGCCTTCTTCTTTTTGTTTTTTCCCTTTTGTATATAGACATGAACTTAATTTTAAGGATTGTAATTTTAACTGTAGAAAATGATCTCAAGTTTCCATTAAATTCATTAGGAATTCCGTGGAGGCCTATTCCTTCGAGACAGCAAGGCTAGCATTCCGTTTGCTGGAGCTGATGGCCATGGCCACGGGCGCCGAGCCTTGTTCGAAGAAGGACTGGAGCAGAGCATGAGCGCTGGTACAGAAACAAGCTGTACTTCTGGTTGGGAAACCCCTTCAGTCCCGGTTTTCCAACCGGGAGCACGAGTCCGATGAGAGGCCGAGGACCCGGAAGCAGTTGCCATCTACTCTCTATACTCATTTTTAATATAATATAAATTTCTCATTTTATAAATAAATAAAATTAAAAAAAACTCTAAAATTCTCTATATCTCTAAATCATGAAGTGTGCTATGCATGCTAGAAATGAAAGTTGAATACTAGTTTTGAATAACTACTTTAACCTTCCTTCATCAAAATATGCAAACTTTAAAGTCATTTTGAGCTTAAATGGCTTACAAATAAAAAAAAACCACCATAAAAAACCACATATATCTAGTCCACAAAATGAGATATGCTACTGATGCAACATGAGAGTATAAAGTTGGTAACCTTTAGAACCGAAGAATCGATGGAGGAATCGAAGAAAATCTTATGATTACCAGCGATGAGGAAGAAGAGAGACCGGCGATGAAGCAAGAACACTGAGCTCGAAGTGGCTCGGGCTCGGGGAGAAAGATGAGGTATATAGGAGGGGACATTTAGTCTCGGTTGGAGACAGCAACCGGGACTAAATGTCTGTTTCTAGTCCCGGACGGAGCCTCTAGCTGGGAGTAGACTTTTACTCCTGGTTGGAGGGACCAACCGGGAGTAAAAGTTAACCTTTAGTGTCGGTTGGTAGCTCCAACCGGGACTAAAGGTCCTCTGCAGTAAAAGTCTGTCGCAGTAGCCGTTGAGCAGGGACCTTTAGTCCCGATTAAAACTACAAACCGGGACTAAAGGTCTCTCTAGTCTCGAACGCGAAAAATACCGGAACTAAAACCAAATTTCGATTAAAAGCCATTTCTCTAGCAGTGGAGGGTGCACTGCTACCCGCCGTGCCGGCAGGCAGCTGACCGGGTGCTGGGCCTCTCGCCGCACACCGACGCGTCTGGCCTGACGCTGCTGCTGCAGATGAACAACGACGTGCAGGGCCTGCAGGTCAAGAAGGATGGCAGGTGGTTCGCCGTGGACGCCGTGGACGCCGCCTTCATCGTCAAAGTCGGTGACGTGCTTGAGGTACGTACAGTTGATGATCGCTAGTCGTACGTTACGTGACGACCGGGAAAGAGAAAAATACTCCAAAATTGTATTGTGAACACCATGTTGCATGTTGCCCTTTCCTTTATTTATTACACAGATAATGAGCAACGGAGAGTTCAGAAGCGTTGAGCATAGGGCCGTGATACACCCAAACAAGGAGCGGATTTCGGTGGCGATGTTTCACTGTCCTAGCCTGAATCTGAAGCTTTTTCCTCTGCCGGAGTTCGTGAAGAAAGGCGAGAAAGTGCGGTATAGATCGACGAGCTACGAGGATTTCTTGAAGCAGTATTTTTCAGCAAAGCTTGATGGAAGGGCGCGCTTAGAGAGGTTGAAGTTGGAGTAGTATATATATATCTACTCGATCAGCCTGTTCGGCTATCTCATGCACACGATGTTCCCGGCATATGTATCGAGAGATATAAGTATATTATTGTCTATGAATCTATGTTAATGGATGAATTGGATATCCACCTACGGGCCATTTTGGGAGAGGGAGAATGTTCTAGTAACAATTTTGAGGACTTAGTTCACATTTCTAGTAGTAATAGTAAATCCTAAAGACTGATATAATCCAGCCAAAGATTGCATCCCAAATTAAATGGGTCTGTTCGTCTCAAAAAAAAGTATTAAATGGGCCTGCTATACACTCCAGTCCACTAATTCCTTGAGGCCTGTTAAATGGGCCTGCTATACACTCCACCCCACAACAGCAAAATAACGCTTATAAAGAAAATAAAGAACACATAAGGATAGTAATTGAGAGGCTAAGAGAGATTCGTGGATGATAAACGTGAGAATGACATGATGGATATGTGCGTGCTCATGTCATGGATGATGAGTGATTGTTAAGGTGAGTTGATCGAACTTTGTTTGAGTTGGGTCAGTGTGATTTGGACTAACTAAGGCGTTGAGTTGGCTTTTGTTCTGCTTTACAAACTGTCACCCAACTCAAGCAGATCATTCTAACCATTGCTGATTTGACCTGTTTTGTAGATTGGTCAAAAGTTTTCACAGCCACAAAGGGATGATACCTACTATTCTTGTGGAAGAAGTATGCTGCAAAAATTAGGCCTTCAGAACAATGCGAAGAACTTGAAATTAATTGCTACTCCCTCCATTCCAAATTATAAGCCGCTTTGACTTTTTTGTTCATCCATTTTGCTATGTATCTAGACATATTATTATATCTAGATGCATAGCAAAATGGATGTACCAAAAAAATCAAAGCGCCTTATAATTTGGAACGGATGTAGTACTCATTTATATTGATATATTTTTCATCAATATGTGTTTGTCGCACATGCATATCTACTAGTTAAGATCATATATGAGTATTTGATGGGGGGTGTTTATCTTCTACTTCACACTCTGTTTTAATTTGTTCCTCTTCCTTTTCTTCTACATTGGCAAATATTCTGGTGAGGTTATTAGAACTCCAAGTTAAGGGCATAGCTCTAATTGAGAGATGACAACCAAAGTCTAGCGGCGCTTTGAGTGAAGGCGAGGGTGGTAAGCAGGCTTATTAGTAGCGGAGTTCCAGGGCGATGCTAGTGTGATGACATGGCACGGGCTAGGGGCGGATCTGCCACCGAGGCTAGGGCGGCTCGAGCGCCCCCTAACGTGGTCGTGCCCATGGAGCTCCGTCTCAGACCCCCCTTGAAATTTTAGCTAAGGGAGAAGGTTAGGAGGAGCTTGAGGTCGAAGACGATGGCAGGAAGAGGAGGTTTAAGCCTTATTTTGCTAAAACCATGGTTTTGTGTCTTCTGAATAGTTTGAACTTAGCCCCCTCACCCTAAACTTTTATCCTAGATCCGCCACTGGCACGAGCATCACCAGTTAGGATGGTTGATTGGGAGGATTAGCTGTTGGATTTTAACTGGATTTGACGTCATATTATTCTATTAAAATAAATTAAATCTAAGGCCTACTAATACCAGGTGATGAAAAAAAAAGATTTATTTCAATTTCATATAGGATTTTGACTAAATATTTACTCAGCTTAAATAAATGACTATTGTGTATGTTTATTAAGAAATTAAGAGAGACGAAAGACAAGCCACACGCGTGCACGTGCTTAGCCCGCCGTGACATATATATGCCATGGTACAGGATGGGCTGGTTTTGTCACCGATCATATGGCGAACTTTGTAATACTAATTTGTGTGACAGAGCAATCCAATAGAAATAAGAGATAACAATGCGGCAAAATAATCGATATGTTTATAGATACTAGTGGACACGCACGTGTCTATAAAAAATCTTTATGAGGGAACAATAGAAAATGTTGAAAGTCAATTCTAATCTCTCTTAAAAACATTTCTGCTCCCTCAATGGACTCAAATAATACAGTGTTGTCATTACCGAAAGATAATTGCACATATAAACTTAAGTAGCTTTCTATCAATTGTTATCTGTGTGCATGAACCGTCACCGCAAAGATTAATTTGAAATCATTAGATCAACTTCAACTTATGTAAATAATGTAAAAATCATGTCAAACAAAAAACAATGAGCATAAAATATGTTTATTGCGGAAAGACATTATAAACACAATCTCTCTTCAAGTCTACACCTAACATTTAAAGAATGGTGTAAATCAAAGCTTAAAACATCAGCTACTAGCCGGACCGCGGACGAGAAACGGCCACTATTGGGCTGGCCCGTCGTGGACTCGTGGAGCGGAGTCGCGCGCAGAGCACGTAGCGCGACTGGTCGCTAAACAGAGATTGCGTAGAAGGAACGGTGACGATACGGGCAGCTCAACGAGAGACGAGCATTCTGTTTGGGCCGTAAACCCCAGCGTGGCCCAATCTCACAAACACCCGAGTCCAGACTCCCGAGCCGCCCTTGTGCTCGGTGCGGCGGCGCAGCCTCCCCAACAAGCCGCCGGCGCCGGTCGCGGAGATGGAGCTGCAGGGTCCCAGTGCCAAGAGGATGAGATCGGAGGACCTCGCAGCCGGTGAGCCCCCGCCGTGGGCAACGGAAGCCACGGAGGCGGGCAATCCCGGACCTACAACCCACAGCAAAGAACCGCCGCCGCCTGGTGCTGGCGGCGGCGACGACGACGTCGACCGCATCAGCGGCCTCCCCGACGCCGTCCTCGGTGAGATAGTTTCGCTTCTCTCCACCAAGGAAGCCGGTCGCACCCAGATCCTCGCCTCGCGGTGGCGCCACGTCTGGCTCGCCTCCCCTCTCGTCCTCGACGCATTGGACCTCTACACCAAGCGCATGGTCTCACTCATCCTTTCCGCCCAAGGCCTCCAGAAGTTTAACGCCGCCAACGAGGCCATCGCCAGCGCGGTCTCCCTCATCCTCTCCGCCCACCCGGGCCCCGGCCGCCGCTTCTGCGTCCCGCCGTACTTTCTCCAGGACCGTCCGGCCACCGTGGACGCCTGGCTCAGCTCCCCGGCGCTTGTCAACCTCCAGGAGCTTGATTTCTGGGAACGGAAAGATATGAAATATTGGTATATGCAACCACCGTCTCCGTTAGCATCGCCACCTGCCTCTGCTTTCCGGTTCTCAGCTACCCTCCGAGTTTCTACCTTGGGCAAATGCGAGCTCCTGGATAGCTCAGTGGAAGGGATTCACTTTCCCTACCTCAAGCAGCTCGGCCTTGAAGACGTCAGCATCTCAGACTCTCAGAGGGCTCACTGCATACCATCATTTCCAGCTGCCCTGTCCTGGAGGCTGGAGTGCCTGCTGCTTAAAGTCTAAAGACTGCTTTGGGGTTGGCTGCCTCCGGATTAGTTCCAATAGCCTTACAAGCATCGGTGTGGGTGCTGGTCGTCGTAGGGGCAATCTCCAGTTATTACAGGAAGTCATAATTGTCGATGCCCCTTGTCTTGAAAGATTGGCAAGCCAATGAATTTAATTGTAATCTCCGCACCTAAACTGGAGACCTTAGGCTGTCTTAAAGATGATGGGTTTGATCATCGCAGGCTCGTTATTGGCACCACAGCTATTCAGGTAGGCATGATATTCTTTTTCTTCCCATGAATAGGCTGCTGATATTTGTTTTCAGTTGCAGAGATTTTCATATCACATGGCTTGATGTTCTGTTCGATGCTTGATTCAGGGATTAGACGTTGTAAGCTTGACAACGGCGTTGAGCAATGTCAAGATTCTAGCTGTCGCATCAGATCATATTAATATCGATACGGTCATTGAGTTGATGAAATGCTTTCCATGTCTGGAGAAGTTGTACATAAAGCTGATAGTTCTTCCGCTACAGTTTTTGGATCACAACGTTCATATATTCTTTTTATTGACTTGGTGTTAATCCTTGTACCCATGTGACTTGAGTTTCCCATTTTGATCTGTTTTGTTCTTCAGTCTTGTATTTCAAGGAAAATGAATCGATGGTGTCGCAAACACAGGTATTTCATTAAAAGCTTTGATATCCATCTCAAGACAATAGTGTTGGAGCAGTACCGAGGCATCAGATCACAAGTCAATTTTGTCTCATTCTTTCTACTGAATGCGAGAGAGTTAGAGTTAATGAGGCTCGAAGTTGGAGCCAGTGATTACAATGAGGCTTTTTTTTCAGAACAATATGGGATGCTTCAGATGGAGAAAAGGGCCTCAAGAGGTGCAAGGTTACATTTTACAAACAAAATATGTACCCATGGTATACATGTTAATCATGTCCGTGATTTGTCTGTAGCAGACCCCTTCGAATGTAGATGGTAGAATTGGTCTAGGTCTTTGGCCTTGGTCTTGCCACTCTCATTTGGTATTTGTTTTCTCATGATTTTTGTGTTTTGAGTATCTACTACCTGGAACATGGGATATCTAAACAAAAGATGCCCATTCTTAGTTTATGGTATATGCAATAAACTGACTATAGTGGAAATAGTAAATCTGAGAGGCGTGTGCTATTGTGCAAGATGGCTGCAGTAGACATTTTTTATTTCGAATTCTGAATATCAGCAACCTCAGTAGATTTATGAAATCTTCTTTTGGTACCACATATTGGTCCTGTAAGTTCCAATTCCAGGAAGCAGTGTTGTACGTAGTTAATCATCCCATGTGTCTTAGTTACAAAATCCCCAATTAGATGTTTCTTAGAGTTTCAGGGAGAAACCCCGGACCCTTGCATTGCTACCAAGACCAAAAATTCTGGTTCCCCCCAACCATGTGGATTTAAGCCTCCAAGGGGCATTCTCCGGTCCACTTGCCACCCCTATCCCCCAGGAGGCAGAATCCGCATCGGGAAAGATTACCGGCTATCATTTGGAAAACACAAGGATACAAATCCCGGATGATCAAAAATATTCAAAATAATCAGAAAAACGCAGAGAAGTAAGAAATGACATTTTCTCAAGCTGAAACTTAGTACCACAAATAAATGTAGTACTGCTACATAATTACAATCATGGCTGTGGCGCGTAAACGGCATACACAGGTCGACGAAGTCCCAAAGGATGGGTCCCAAGGTGCTCAGGAACGACACCTCGAGGACCATGTCGTAGCAGTCCAATGGGATGGAGTAGCGGTCGATGCAGAAGTCTTCATGGCCGACGCGATCTTGAGTGACGTGGATGCCGACATCGCGGGCTAGGCCGCGGCACGCAATGCGGTCGCCGTTGGCCACGATTACGGCGTTCGTACGCGCGCGCCAGCATCATCACGCGCTGCAGATCATGGGGGTCTTGGAGCTCCACGTCGGTGCGGATGGGATCGGGGAGGCCGCCGGTGAAGAGCTGAACTTGTTGAAGCAGCGAGAGGTGGCCCACGTGCGCCATGCGGGCCAGGAACGTCTTCGTGTACTCCTCGACCCATCCGCGGAATGGCAGCCGAGCCAGATCAGAGAGATGGTGCCGAGGGCTGGCCCAAAGCGCTGCTGGCACAGCGTCTTGAACTGGGATCAGCTGATGGCGGTGACGTCACCAGCGTCGCGCTCCAGCATGTAATACCAGTCCTGAGCGACGTCAGTCATGTGGAACGAGGCCAGCCATACCTTGTCATGCTCGGGTGTTCGTTGCGCCCTGAAGAAGTGGTCTCACTTGTTGAGCCATCCCAAGGGGTTGCTTTTGCCATCGAACGTGAGGAAAGTGAGCTTGCGGAATCGGGGGGCGCCGACCGTGTCGGATTGATCTTCATAGTGGGTGGGCAACACGCTGGGCAGCACGGGCGCTGGCACGCTCGGGTTGGGAACGGGCAGCGCGGGTGCTGGCTCGCTGAAGATGGTGAAAGGACCTTGATGTCGCCTAGAGGGGGTGTGAATAGACCTGTTTAAAACAAACTCGCAGCGGAAGTTAAATTGTAGGTGCGGCACTGCTGCTCCCAAGGTGCAGCACTGCCTCACTAAAATTGCGGCACTACTGCTCCTGCAGACAAGCTCGAACTACAATTCAAAAACTACCCAAGGAAAAGTAGATCGAGCAAATTACTGATGTTCCTGGGATAGTGTAGAGCCTATTCCACCACCAAGATGTTGGCGGAAGTGCACGAGGAAGTAGATCGATACCAAACCCTAGAATCACCACAAAAACAAGTATAGCAATGCAAATCACAAGAACACAAGTGACACACCGATTTATCCCGTGGTTCAGCTCGTCTCTAAGGCTTGCCTATGTCCACGTTGTTGAGGTAGCCACAAAGGCTTTGGTCTCTTTCAACCTTATCCTCGTTCTTAAGTCAAGAGAATGGACTCTTGAGATGAGTGGTGATTTCACTAGATGATTGGGGTGATTACAAACCTCCCGGGGCTGTCACATAAGTTAGCAAGCTCCACGGGCGACGCTCTTGCCGGCTAGGAGCAAGCTTCAAGAGTAACAAACACAATCCACTGGCTTGAACGTGAACCAAGTGCTCTAGGAGATGAAGAACAGTTGGGGCTGCTCTCTAATGCAGTTTGGAGGCTTAACTCTCTTGGATTTGGAAGGAAATCAAAGGGAGAAGCTTGAGGGTCTCCAATGGTGAGTGAGGGAGAGAGAGCAGCTCTTTTCTGTTTTGGACGAGCCGGAATGAGCAGGAGGTTCAAGAGAGCCATTGGGGAGGAAGAGAAGGGGTATAAATACCCCCCTGCTCCCAACGGCCAGTTCAGTTGTGGCAGTGCCACGGCTAAACTGCGGCAGTGCCTCGCCTGAACTGCGGCAGTGCCTCAGTGTAGCAGTGCCTCACTTTAGCGCGACAGTACCTCACCTGCCAGGCAGCACAAAAGATAGGATTGCAAAGCTTGCTGTCTTGGCTGAGGCTTTAAGGATATTTGGTGGATAAATGAGCACTTGGTTGCACATTAAAGATTGTGCATTGTACCCTCTTTATAGTACGGCTTTTCCTAAACTCAAATTCAAAATATCAAAGAATTTAAACACCTTTAAGTTGGTCACCTCATCCTTTTATAATTGGGGGCTCCACCATCGAATGTATTGTCCTCATTCCCATTATACCTTGAGCATGTGACTTGAACCATTTCAACACATGTGAGTTCAATCCATGGCTTCAAGTCACTTCCAATAATGATTTGATCCTTAACACAATATGACTTCTCATAACTCGATTAGTTCCTCGAATCAATGCAAGTACTCTCTTCTTCACCTTAGCCATGGTACCTCGGTCCTCAAGCCATTGCTTGCCCTTCACCTTTGCTTAGTCCCTCGAAGCCCTTTCCTTGCTATCCTCACCTTATCAAGCCATACTCAAGTTACATCATATTAAGTATCCATTGAAAAACCATTTCTTCAAAATTGTGATCCTTACTTGAATATCTTCTAGATATGAATGTTGAGATCAATCAAGCTTTAGTTTGATTCACATAAAGACATATATGAATCAACATCAATATGGTCAAGCCAATTCATGATTCCTTATATCCTCTTTATTTTGGCTTGACACTCCTAATACTCACTTCAATATCTATCTTCATACTTCTAGCTTGATCAAGTCAATGCAAAGTGATTTTTCAAATCTTTATCCATACAAGCAAACTAATGTAGAGAACATCTTATATCCATTATACATTGACTCCTTTGTCATTTCACCTTTTCTTAACATTTCCTCACTTATACACTCTTGATTCATTCTTCAATCCTTGATCAAAGCTAGTCTGCTATCCAACTCTTCTTGTTCATGTAAAGCAAGCCATTATAGAGACCAATCCAAAATCATCAACTCATGTCTCATTTGCCAAATATGCTTGCTTTCACATGATGCTATGATATCCCACAACATAAAAGCCATTTCATTGATTCCATTTGCATTGTTGTCTTTTGCTTGAACTAGATTGTTTCCGTAATCCTTCAATACAACAATATAGAAAATGACCTTCATTACAATACTATGTGGCATATCATCAAGTTTGCCTTCTTGTTGAACCTATATACACTTCTCATTCCACAATCCACAAGTGTATGCAATAAACTCAATTTCCTGTTCAACACTTAGCAAACTTGTTACACCGTTAATGGTGTTGTCATTCAGTTCACCAAAACCCACTAAAGGGCTAGACGCACTTACAGATGGAAAGGGGCGATGGTGAATGTGGGAAGGAGATCTGGGTGATGGGCACCCCTTGATCGGCTGTCGTCGTGTGGACGATGGCCGAGACGGAGGATGGGGCCAGAGGAATGCCGCCATAGCCAAGGAGGCCATATGTCGGAGGAATGCCACCATAGCTAGGGAGACCATACGGCAGTAGAGGCGGGGGGAGGGGTGATGGTGAATGTGGGAAGGAGATCTGGGTGATGGGCACCCCTTGACCGGCTGCCGTC